TTGAGCTGGTCTTTCCTGTTTCAGTCGCGCTGTGTCCCCCTCCTCTTGGCAGCTACGTAGAACTACTATGTAAACACTATTTCTGATGCATATGTAGTAAACAGGAAAGTACCGCAGTACCTCTCGTTGCTGCTCGGCGGTCGTTTCCTGGCGGCGGGGAAGGGGTGGGGGGGGCGAGGGCGACGGTGGAACCGTACCTGTTGCGCCATTTCACCCATTCGCGATGCTATACCCTGCCTATTCCCACTAGATTTGGTGTGTACTGCCAGCTTATCAGCACTTTTTGTCACACATAGGTAGATAAAACTAGTACTTTTGGCAGCCATTGCTGCGACCTATTTCTTGTAAAAACTCTCTTAAACAGTTGGCACGAATAAATCGCTGAATACAGGTGTCAGAGTTTGTACAAACTTGGCTCAGACAGAAATTCCGTGACCTCGGACAGGCGCTGCGTGAAGCCTTTCCAAGGAGGGTACCTCTATAACGCCCTATTGAGCAACAACTTTACGTCCCAAACGCCTTCCTTGCCCGCCCGCCCACAAACGGACGACCGTTTCTGACGCTCGTATTCATTCATTTGCTGAGCAAATTATGAAGCAAAGGATTGGTATGAAGCGGCCGTGATGCTGCATGCATATATGGGTACACATATGCAGCCGTATCTTCGGTAGCGGTGATTGGCAAGATGCGTACGGGAAACTCGTCCGAAATCGATTTACAAGTCACTGAGAACGGAGGCTTTTTCTTCGCCGGATTTTGACCGTTTCACTCCGTTCTTTCGCCATTTCCCCACTATACAGCGCCCTACTAGCATTTTAGGCTAAGTAGGAAACCATCGTGCCAACTGCCTTTAATGTTGAGTAGTCTATCGTACACATGAAAGCAACAAAGCCAACAGCAACACAGCCCTCGTTCAAGAAGCGCGGATCGATTCCGTTCTAATGGGCCGTGAATTGGATTTCTGCAAGTAATAGTTTTCAGTTCAATCGTATCCAATCCATCATTATGCATTCAATTCAGTCCAAGACATTGACCAGCCAATCAACCCCGCGGAGCTTCCAGTTCAATGCATCCACACCAATTCGACCCCATACTCTCCGGAAATAGGCAGAAAACGGCCGTTATCTTATGGGAGACCCTATACATTGCGAGCGTCACCTAAATGATTCGTAATGGCTAACAGTGTCCAAAGTGAATGGCGATGACTATCGATTTATTTGGTTATCATGGATCAATTTGATGCACGTGTGCGCCGTGCTTTATGCTATTACGCAGAGGTGGTGGATAGGTGTGACTTCTAAATTTGAGTGATTTTTGTCCATGTGGGCAAATGTGTGTCCAGGGTTTGGAAAGGTCGATGAGCACGAATATGTTTGAGATGATTATTGACCGTTTACGAACTTACGAGTCCATGCTAACTATTGATATTGCTAATCATTTGTTTTAATATTTCGTAATCTTCCTTCATCCGGATCCTCTGCAGCTCCATCGAACTTAGCGAAGACACTTTTGTGCTGTTTGGTGCTCACCGGCCTTGCGCTTGGACCCCTCCCCTGCTCGGCGGCCAAGCAGGACAACTCGATGGGTTTCGCACAGCAATGCTGAACCCTGGTTGTCCCGGCTTCAGAATGAGCAACCTAATGAGTGTGAATTAACAAAGTAAGATTCTATAACTCTGCTCCAAGTAATTTGAAAGAACTAAAACATCCAGTAGCCTTTCATAGCACATTCCATACCCCGGAAACTAAAGGGCGTAAATTTCCACTTCATTCGAACATTTGACCAGGTTGTTCTTGATGAAACTGCGGTCCCTTCTGGAGCGGGGCAAACACATGATTATACCCGTAGTAAGCCAAGAACAGCCCTCTACATGCACAGCCAACACCACGTTCAAATGGAACAAGCTGTATCGCTCTCCCAATCTCGCTGACATGGACTGGTTTTCCTGCAATATTTCCGTGCGTGGCACCTTCTTCACTTATAAATGACGGACCAGCATTCCAGCCAAAAGTGGTTGCCCACTCAGCCCACAACTGCCTCATAACTACGAATCGGTGGGAGATTGAGTTTGTTGCAATGAACAGTGAAAGATCAGTTAACCGCGAGCATGCTTACCGTAATTAAAGGGACCGCCGGCCATGACCTATGAAAATGCAAGGGGTTATGTGGGAGGGTAGTGCGGTCCGGACGGGACAACCCTATGCCAGTTTTGCGGCGGAAAGTTGTACTGTAAAGGAATTAAGGCGCAAAGTTGCTTCAGTGGTACATCCCTCTTTCCAGTGACTCCGCCTCCAGTCTTCGCCTCCAAGGTAGGCCTTCCAGCTGAAAGCAACGCTCCCTGACATGTATCATGGAGTGGATGCATTCAGTGTCTCTTACAGAGTCATAGGGTTCATTATTGGGAATCAGTCGGCATGAATCGTCCCAGCACGCGACCTTTTCGGTCTTTTACCTCTAAAGTTGTTTGAGGCTAGCGGAGGCCTGACGAATACGTTTCCACCTTTGGCATATACCTCTCCAAAGACGGCTCACCTGACGATTTTCCCACATTTCTGCAACATCACCACGGCTTTTTATCGCGGACCGTGCCTTCAAGAGATGATTTGTAAAGTATCAGCTCTGCCATTTATTTCTATTCATATCCACCTTTTCAATTGTCTGCTTTGTTTTCTGTTACGCGGTGTAATACTTTAATTATCGAAGTGAGAGAGACGTATATCCTGTGAACGCATCTTTGGAAAATGCTCAAAGAAACTACTACTAGGATGCAAAGGTGGGCTCATCACCCTCTGATAATAGTTTATTGAGAGATCCTTTGCACTCCCACCACTTTTTGCCCACATCCTCGTCACTAGTAGGTGTCAAGGATGTGGACAAAAAGTATGTGTTCTTATTCATACCCTTCATTTACAGGGAAAATGACGTATCAGGCGTTTGAAGTACTTGGAGAAGAAAATATTGGCGTATTTTTAAACAGTACGGTAACTTCAGTAGGGGAACAACGAGACACCATACCCCCAAAAGAAACCGTAAATAATGTGGATGCACATCAAATACAGTATCTCACAACAGCGTCGAAATTGCCTAGGTAACGTATTACGCGCTGCGATGTGAAAGTGATCCAAATAATTGATTGGAGCAGTGTTCGTAAGATTTAGAGAGCAGTTGGATGCTCGGATACATCATTTTCGGCCCTATTGAATTATCCAGTGATTCAAAAAATTTTTTCGCTGAACTTTGTCTTTAGATGTTACTTGATGTCCTGATCACGAATATAACATTTATTTCTAGCGCTGGCGTCATTAGGCGCCAACATGGTGCCAGTCTTTTTCTTGCCAAATTTGTTGCAAACTTGTGTACGAGGGTAAACTGACATCCTGATCACGAATATGGGCACTATTGAACTATTCCTACCCCAAAAACTCAAAAAATTTTTTCGCTGAAACTTTGTCTATAGATGTTATTCGATGTCCTGATCACGAATATGACATTCATTTCTGGCGCTGGTGCCATTTGCCGCCACTGGGCGCCAATTTGGCACCACAGCTTTTGTTCCCAAACCGATAAAAACTTGTGTAATAGGGGTGTTCGATACCCTGGTCACGAATATGGCATTCATACCCCCATACCAGCGCTATTTAGCGTTCTGCTGAGGCTGACTAAGAAAATGAGCTATTTCCTTCAGGCCAGCTCAGTCTTAGCAGATCTAGCATAGCGCAGATGACCATGGTGTCCTACGTTAGCGCTGGCGCTAAGTATGAATGCCATAACCGTGATCAGGATGTCAAATAATTCCCGTACACAATTTTCAGTGAATTGGGGTGTTTTGGCCCGGCGCCTGTGGCGCGGGCGCCAAGCAGTTTTAGCCCAAGAGGATGTGATATTCGTGTTCAGGAAATCGAAGTACCTCTGCAAGCAGATTTTCAGACAAATCCGGTTTTGTAGAAAAATATCAGTAAAATGCGGCCTAGTTTCGGCAACTGGGGTAGCAATAGTTTAATAGTGCCCATTTTTTTCTATGATTGCACTTGTATAATCGGGTTTCACTGGCACTCATCGAAAATAGCCCCCACACGGGGTCAGAAAGAAAAAGTCACAAAATAGTCTTGCATGTTTTCTCCTTCACAGGTCACGCATTCAATCCTTGATTAATGCCGTGCTCCTTTTCATGTCGAGTAGTGGTTTCAATAATCCACATCCTTAATATATGGTTCTGATGAGAGCCTTTTTGTCGTGCGGTGACCACTGCCTGCTGGCTTCCTGTTGGTTTCGTCCGATACGAGGAATGACGACAAGATGGTTTTTTTGAACAAAATACAGTACGAGTACGAGATCTATAGTCAGCCCTATCCACGGCTTCAAGAATAAGCTCGCAATTGAAACCTGAACTATTCTAGGCATCCTGGAGTGGGGCTGAATGTGGATATAGGTTGTGCATAGTGCTAGAGCATTCACTAATCTGGAAGGCGACAAGTTCCCCATTCCGAAGCAGTCGTGCTGACTTTGAAACCTAAATATTCTTATTTGATCTTGCGGTGGGCTGCGTTCACAATTCCCGTCTGCGTTTGAGCGTTTTGGGCAAAAAATAAAGTTAGCTATCGACCAGCGTTTTGGATCTTCTCAGCAGAAAGCTCGCGTTTCAGGGAATATGTAGGTGTAAGTGTATCGTGTAGGTATCGATCGGCGCTAACAACGCCAGATCAATACCTACACGATACTCCTCGCTCAAAACGCTCAAAAATGTTTGATGCAATAGCAAACGAACTCACGTGCGTTACCCAGGCAGTTCAAACGCTATTGCCGTGAGATGCTGTGTTTGGTGTGCACCCAGATTATTTACGGCTTCTTTGGGGGTACGGTGTCTCGTTGTTCGCCTACTGAAATTACCGTACTGTTATTTTTAAGCATAGAAGAGCGGTTGTGCGGCTTCGTTGAGACACGATCGTACTGAACGAGCATTAGGTTCTTTTACTCGAGTACAAAAACGGCCACTGAGTTTAATGAGATCCCTATGTGTCGATGTTTGTGTTGGAATAATCGCTATCCTTGAGCATTTTTGTCTCAATATTTTAGCAATGAGCTGTACATTTCAATTGCCACTCTCTGAACTTATTTAAGCACGCTACCTATCATGTAGTCGTTACCACTGAAATCAGTCGTGGCGCGGGTTCTGGCATGGTGTCAGCTCCTTTCACACCACCCACTGAACACTCGAAACGTGGGAAACGGGCTGGCGCTGCGTCATACTTCCTGCCTCAGTGACACGCCCCTACTAACTTTAGTGATAACGACTGCACCTTGACGTAAGCATGTTTCGTAAAGGCTGCCTTTCATTTGATAGCTTATTGGACCAGAGTACGCTCATCCTTCCGTTCAATTTATAAATATAACATCTCAATGCTTACTTGTGACTCTTGTTTCTCGCTAGACAGGTTAGTATGACTGATGCATTCATAAGCCACATCTAACTGGTTCATTGCTTGTATAACCAATCATAGAGACACAATAAATTAGACAGCTCAGAGCCCCCCTACAGAATGCAATCAAGCCGACGCTTCACCGGCTGAACAGATCTCTTTTCAGAAACATACGACGCCAAAGGCGCAATCTGAGTATCCCGTTCGTTTGATAACTACAACGCCAACTTCAACCACACCCCAGGTAAACATGAGTTTCCATTCCGGTAAGGAAACCGGCTCCAAATTCGGATAGCAGAAGGCAAAAATGTTTCACCAACAAATTACAGTACCACAATTTAGGTAGAGCCCCGAACGGCAGCGTCAGCGTTCACTCAACAAGTGCAAACTAGCTATAATGCAGTAGCGGCTCCGCCACTTCCTCCAGCCCCACAATACAGCATCCCACAAGTAGCTACAAATACCATCGGAGTTCAAGCTGGTGAGTTTGATTTGTTTGCTCCGAATTCAGTAATAATACGGCTCAATATGCAAAATTTCAGGTGCACCAGGATATCAGCAGCAACAATTTGTCGCATCTCAACCCATGTCCATGAGTCAGTCATCTCAGCCGCACAACACCCTTATGCAAGTGCCCAACATGATCCAGACTCCCAATGTTCAGACAGTTGTCCCAGGCCAACAGTACGGCCCATATTATCAGATGCCCATGCAACAGGTGACGCTTCATAAGCGGAATAGCTATCGTAGAGATAATTTCTTTTCTTTTAGGTCCCACAACCCCTAGGAGGTGTATATGCACAGCAACCCACTCAATTTACCTCACTCCAACAATTTCCTGCCGCCACGTTGCAACAACCTCAACTCCAGGTTCAACCACAGCTCCAACTTCCAGGTAAGCTGCAAAGGTTATCCGCAGGTTGAGTCCTGGATAACTACTAATAGGACACCCAGCAAAGTGTTGTGCAACAAATCAAGATGTTAGAGGGAGTGGGCATCCCTGGAGACTAGCGGATGTTGCCGGCGTCATTGATTGAATAGAGTTGATTACACCCTCACGCGTTGCGCACTTTGTCCGAACGCCCTTCCTCAGCCCATCGACCAATGACGCAGGCATCAACTGCCCGCCTCCATTTCCTTTGTGTCCATTTCCTTTGAATCGTGCCATCCCTTCTAGGACATGTCGTGGCGTACATGTAATCCAAGTCAAGTGCAACTCCCCTCCCCCCCCCCTCCAAATTTGCACAGGTTTTGCGTAAACGGTACATAACCTCCAGTTGTTGCTAGGTGTGGTTGCAAATCCCAGGAGATATTGAAAGATCGCTCTTTTACCTTCATCTCGAATTATTGTTCAGCTAAATCTAATCTCGGGTCGATAACTGCTGCCAAACCCTTATTGTCACTCCCGGAACTCCGAAGTAATGATTCATCCTTTATTCGGTGACGGTTTGAGACAGTTTTTGCCGTTGATGAATCCCTTAGGCTGCGTTTATACTTTGCGGCGTAGCGTAGCGTAGCGCTTCCAGCGTACGCCAGCGGCAGTGCCGGGGAGAGGATGCATATCGATCTAGCGTTCCCAGCGTCACCAGCGTAACGCTAGCGTTACGCCAGCGTTTCTCCAGCGTTTCACCAGCGTTTTGCTAGCGTTTGCAGCGGCAGGGGAGTAGAGACTATGGGAGAGCTGGAGGGTACAAAACACATCGATTGCGCGTCTCTCACTCGCCCTCAGTCTCTACAATACACATCGATTCGCGTCTCTGACGGCCACATAGTCTCTACAATACACATCGATTGCGCGTCTCTTACGGCCACATAGTCTCTACTCCCCTGCCGCTGCAAACGCCAGCAAAACGCTGGTGAAACGCTGGAGAAACGCTGGCGTACGCTAGCGTTACGCTGGTGACGCTGGGAGCGCTAGATCGATATCCATCCTCTCCCCGGCACTGCCGCTGGCGTACGCTGGAAGCGCTACGCTACGCTGCCGCAAAGTATAAACGCAGCCTTACGGGATGCGGTGAGCATACTACTTCCACTCGGAATAGTGGCTTCTAGAATGCGATATGGCCTATACAATGATTAGGTGACTTGATCCTCCCAAGCCAAACTCTAATAACAATTAACCGTCTGAAGGTGAAAGGCTAGGTTGGACAGGGAGAGTAGACGAAGCGAGAGTGGAGTTTGACACCATCCAGCGCGGAGGTGGCTGAATACTTAGCGATCGGGAGAACCTGCGAAGCGCTAGTTTCACCCGCTTCCTTGCTCAGCACTTGGGCGGACACAGAGAAATCGATAGATATCAAACCCCTTCCGCGGATAGGCCGAATTCTGTGCAGGCCCAAGTTCCACTTGGGATGAAGATTTTTGCCCATTACACTTACTCAGCACTATTCGACCATTACACCCCAAAAACGCCAAAGTTCTGGTCACACTTTGCCCGTAAGGATAATTTGATGTCCTGGTCGTAGTATGGCATTGGGTTTTGACGCTGGTCCCATTCGGCGCCACTAGGCGTCAATTTGGCGCGCACCACTTTTCTCACAGAAATCCGTGTAAACTTGCATAATAGGATTGTTTGATGTTTTGACCTCGAATATAGCATTCATTTCTCGACATCAGCGCCAGTTAGCCCTCTGGTAAGGCTGAGTCTGGGAGAAGGGAAGACTTCTTCAGGCCATGCTCGGCCTTAGCAAGGCGCAGGCGATCGTGCCGTTCTCCATTAGCGCCAGCACCAAGAACAAATGTCCTATTCGTAGTTAGGATGTTAAAAACCTCCATATACAAGCTTTCAGCCAATCTGGTGAATTGGTGTCCTGCGCCTCTAGCGCGGGCGTCAGGCAGTTCCGTGTGGAGCGGATGTGATATTAGTGTTCAGGAGATCCAACTACCACCAGGCATGGGCATCGTTGTGTGAAACACATGCGGGTGGTCGTACTTGGCCGCTGGGGAGGAGGGTCCTATTTGGTTGCTGTTGGGAGAGGGAGGAGTCGTACGTGCTTTTTGAAAATGTGGGGAATTCGGGAAAACTGGTAGGAAGCTGGGAGCTTGTAGGAAGAAGGTAGGCAGGTGTTGGGGAAGGGTGGGGGGACGGTCGTAGCGACACTTTCATCTAGGTGGGAGTCGTACTGACGCCACCATTTTTACATCACGATGGTGTACCCTGCCCCCAGAGCCGTGTTTTTGGCCAGAACTGCTATACTAGAAAAAAGTCGGTCAAAAACTGTCCTGTTTTTGGAGTATTAGGTTTAGTAATAAATAGCTGAACAGTGCCTACAGTTCTTGCGAAAACTTTAACGGGTCTAGTTTACAAGTTATCGAATTAACCGCAACCTCTTCGATACCACACTATTCCTTTCAAGCAGAGAACACGAAAAGGATTTCATGCTATTTCAGGAGCTCAACCTATCTCATCTACACCTCTACCCACACTGCCACCGTTAACGTTCCCAACGTTAGATCAAATTCCAAAGATCGATATCCCATCGGTTGAAGACGTCGAAAATGTGATTCCTCCCGTACAACGGGCGATTCTTACAACTGTTGCTCGCTTCTTTGGAGTGTTGTAAATGAATTCCTGTAGTTGTACTAATAATAAATTTCAAACCATTTTTATTACCATTTAATAGGCACACCGGTAAATGGTACAGAAATCCTTCACACAACCACCACTTCAGGCACTGCTCATACAAGGCTTGACCAAAAGAAAGATGAGTATATTGTGGCAACATATTAATAATTATTGACAGCGCTATGGGTTCTAGGAGTTGGTTGCTCACAGAAACACAGCTTCGACATTGCTTAGGCATGGACTGCTCAGAGGGCACAGGGGGAAAGGACGCAGAAAATCCCCTGATAAACTGCTCCTACAAGACACTACAATGATGCTCTGCTTGCAACCCGAATTAAATTTGGAAATGGCCTGGACTCAAGGTCGCCACAAGTATTACCCGAACTCGATTCAGTGATAATTATGCTCTCGTAACTATTTCCTAGACTATACAGGTACGGTTTCAATAGAAACCGTAAGATCAGTCACAAGAACATGTTTAACCGTAAGAGGAGAAATGTGTTGGGAACTTGTGGCGATGGCCAAGGAATAGGTGAAGAAGAATCGCATCGACCCTATCGAAACTATGGAAGCTTGCTCTAAACCGCAGAATGCTACTATCTTAATTAATGAAAGTTACTAGGAATGAAAGCAGATCTTGCTCTATAAAGAGACAATTAAATTGAGAGTGATAGTGAACACTTCTACAGAGAACAGCTGCTGCTGTGTTGGAGATCAACCACACTACACCATTCTCCACCTATTTGGGTATTCTGTGCCCATAAGGATGCCATGCAAAAGCGATGGGGTCAGGGGGGTCATGGGTGAAAGGGCCTACGAGAGAAAGCTAAGCACGAAGCCGTCACTCTCTCAAGGGATAACGATGGCTGAATAGGGACTTGGTTTTTAATAGAAGTATACATCTTTCTGGGGGACTTAAACAGCCACCGGGTGGGTGATTAAGGGTCGTCTAGAAGCCGCCAGACGGAACAATGTGCAACCTAGATGACCCATGAGCGTCTGTCTTTAAGCTAATTAAGTGATTTTGATATGCCTGTAATCGCAATGTGAAGGGTGGAGGTTAAGGAAGTCCGTACGACTGATGAATAAGGCATGGGGGAGGAACTCGGCATTTTCGAAAGAAATAACATAAAAAAACAGGGCACGAATCAGGGACTACTCATAATGTCTAGAGTGGGATGTTTCCATGCTTTCTCCATGGGTTCGACAGTTGTTTGCTTTCAAGCAAAGCGAGATCCTCGCAGATTCGACGACGGGTGGTATGCGGTTGGATGATATCGTCGACGTATCCTAAAACATAGTCCACGTATTAAGGAATAATAGAAGAAATTTAACTCCAAAAGAAGCTGAACGGGTGCCACGCGGCTGCACCTCTGCATCCTTCCCTCAAAAAGGACCAGGCAGCACCCAGATTGCGATGATGCCCTTCGACGCGCTTCATTTGCGACAGCGCTCTGAAGCCATAGACGCGAACGTAGCCGTTCGATCTGCTTGCGGAGCCGCAGGCGGGACAGGATGGTAGGTATTGCCTAGTCACGCAGACTGGCATCGATCCGCTCCGGCCGTCTACGGTCAGGTTCGCGTCCATAGCCTTGCAGCGCTGATGCAATTGCAGCCCGTCGACGCGCGTTACAGTGCGTCATCAAGCATTACGCTGCGTCGACGCGCGTCTTCGCAAAGTCTGAATGTTAGCTCAGGGCGCAGAAGACCATAGTCGCCGAAGGCTAGTATAACAGAGAAGAGAAAGACCCAAAATCTAAGCCTTGCTTAGGGGAAGGGGATAGAGACGTTGGGCGCGAAAATAGGCTGCCACTCGGCACCCCTCAACTACACCGGATCCAGTTCATTTCTACAAATCGAACTTACCACGAACAGCAGCCGGGAAGGGATTGCTGAAGAGGTCAATGTACTCCTCTTCCCTCTTTGCTGGATTCTTGTCTCCACGGAACAGAATCGACACAGCACCCTGGAAGAATTGTATGCTTACAAGTAATGCCACTCACTCCCGAGAGAAAATCCATACCTTGGCTCCCATCACAGCTACTTCAGCAGTTGGCCACGCGTAGTTGATGTCTCCGCGAAGATGTTTCGAAGACATGACACAATAAGCACCACCATAGGCCTGAAACGAATAAGTTACTTCTGGTAATGGTAGGGTTTACATGGTGGTCCTAGTGCTTGCTCAGTTCTTTTACCTTTCTGGTGATGACTGTGATCTTCGGTACTGTTGCTTCAGCATAAGCGTACAGGAACTTGGCTCCGTGGCGAATAATACCACCATATTCCTGCGCCGTTCCTAAACATTTCAGCGTAAAAATGTCTTCGAAGGGATTCCATGACCTAGCCAATGAGGCAAGCCCTCACCAGGCAAGAATCCAGGAACATCGACGAGTGTGACAAGTGGAATGTTGAAAGCGTCACAGAAACGTACGAAACGAGCTCCTTTCACTGACGAGTTGATATCAAGACATCCTGAAATAGGTATGCAGTACCCAGTATAGTAGTAGAAGATATTTATTCCACATACCAGCGGCAAATTTCGGGTTATTACCAACCACTCCAACTGTGCGACCGTTCATGCGACCAAAACCAACGACGATGTTCTAAAATTCACGCAATTATTAATATTTATCGTAACATCACTACACTGTAGTTCGCTGACGACGGTTGGGCGCGGTGCCAAACCCGTTCCCGACCAGTTGTCAAAGCGAGCAAATGATATGACTATCACACGTTCGTATTACTCGTTTTCTACCACTTTTTGTCGCATGCGCGCTTCAACAAGAAGGCAGAGAACGGCTCTGACGGCCTGACAAGCCCAACCGTCTGCGTCGAACTAGAGTGTAAATTTCCGACACACCTTTGCATAATCAGGTGCAATCTCGAAAAAGTCGCCTTCGTCCAAGAGAGCGAGGATGACGTCCTTCATGTTGTACGCAGTAGTACTTTCGAGAGGAACCGCGGTATCGAGGGATGGAACATCACGATCCCTGGAAAATTTCTTGATTAAGCACCACTTCAATGATGCGTGCACCCTACAAGTAAGTATTACCATGGGTCATCGCAAGCTCGGACAGGTGCCGGATCCTTGTTCGAAAGTGGAAGGTAGTTCAGAAGTTCGCGCATGCTCATCAACGCATCTACATCATTCTCGAAAGCGCCAACGGCCACACCTTAATCGACTCGATTTTTGGATTAGTTTGGTACTTGAGTGGAATGTAGTTGGAGGGGGCATGCGGCGCGACTGAGGCTGCTCGCCCTCGTCGTTAACGAGACAGTGACCTTCTCCTCCCCCCCCCCCAACTCAGTTCGAAGAACACACATCCCAAGCCGAGTTCGAGCAATCCAGGTTATCTTGAGCGCGACATTGTGTGCAGACCAGCCAGTTACCGTACTAATTGACTCTAGTTAACGTCATGATGCCAGCGTAAAGGCAGTGAGCATGGTGCCTGGAGGGCGGGCTTTTATTGCCATCGTAATTGGCGGAAGAACTGCGAGAGGGCGTTTGGTCACACCCCACTCAGCCCTTCCAACAATGACGTCGACAGTAACCTCCCGCCCCCAGCCATCGTGCCCACTACCTTTGAGGCAGCGTTTAGACATCGCGATTACGCGTGTCGACGTGCTTCAGAACTACAGATGGAAGGCATCCGTAAACGGTTATCGATCGTCACCGGACGCTAGTGTTCTGGGAAAGTTTAGTAGAATAGGAGGGTACCAGACCATGTGATTAAGCAACTCGTACCTTCCTAATCCCCCATCCTCTCTCAAACAACGTCAGCGCCGATCGATACCCCTGCACGAGCACTTTCACGCTCCGCGATCTTGTCGCGCGATCGATGAGCAGATCACGAAGTATGAATACACTCTGAAACTGCGACCCCGCTCTATAAGGCAGCTTTCAGACTTCGCGAGGGCAGCGCTTCGTTCGCGCGTTCGATGCGCATGCTTTCTACTGCATCGATCGCGTCGAACGCGCGATCCAAGCGCTGCCGTCGCGAAGTCTGAACGCTGCCTAACGCTTGGAGAGCTGTAGCAATGGCAGCAGGTCAACGCGAATTGTGGGTGCTCTAACTGGACACTGGTACCCATATCCGATCCTGCTCTTTTCAAGGCCTTATCTCGAAGAAATTCAAAACCGGTGAATTACGCAGCATGCCGTGATTTATCAGTGAACCATGTGCAGGATGCCTCGTTTCAGATAACCTGAACTGCAAGCACCTAAGTCGTCGCCGCTGTCCAGTTTCGCCACGTAATTCCCTGAACAACCCTCAATACCAAATTCTTCGTACCAGATGTTACAGTGTGTGTTTTGGCGCCACCGAGTTCCTCCTGAGTGACTTCTTCGTTAGTAACCGCCTTGACGACATCAGGACCGGTGATGAATAGGTAGCTCGTGTCACGAACCATGAACGTAAAATCGGTGATAGCAGGCGAGTAGACAGCACCACCTGCACATGGTCCCATAATAAGTGAGATCTGTGGTATGACTCCAGACGCCGACACATTTGCCTGTAACCAGAAAGATTTTTAATGTTCCATGAAAGCGGCGACAAGTGTTTCGTACCTGGAAAATGTCAGCATATCCAGCAAGTGACTCAACTCCCTCCTGAATACGTGCACCACCGGAATCGTTGAGACCAATGACAGGGGCACCCACAAGCATCGCCTCCTGAAAATAGCCTGTTTAGACTGCATTCAGACTTCGCGATCGTGCGACCAAAACCGGGCGCGCCCCACCCCCACGTATGCGCTACTGCAACGGCAGGATTCAAACTGGGCCGCTTACACAGCGCGCCAAATTGAATCGTACCGTTGCCGCGGTGCATCGATTGGCTGCGGAGCGCCCCGGCCGTGGGGTCACGCGGTCCGACCGCGCGGTCGTGAAGTAGTCTGAACGCAGTCTCAGATACCCGACTGTTACTCACTCTCATTATCTTGCAGATCTTCTTCGAGTGGATCATCGACAACGAGCCACCAAAAACGGTAAAGTCCTGCGAGAAAACGTACACGTTGCGTCCGTTAATGTGACCGCGACCAGTAATTACAGAATCGCAGGGTATCTAAATTACACAATTTAATTGCCTGAAGTGAGCGCTCATACACGTCTACTTACTTTCTGCTTCTGCATGTCAAAATCGGTACATGTATGTTCCGCAAACATGTCGTACTCGCGGAAGGTGCCCTTGTCCAAAAGCAATTCGATCCTTTCGCGAGCAGTCAGCTTCCCCTGGAAATTACTTGCTTGACTACACTTCTACTGAACAGTACTCCGACTTGAGCTCAACCTACTCGATTGTGTTGCGTGTCGATTCTTTTCTGTCCACCACCGAGTAAAGCCTTCGCCCGTGTCTTCTCAATATGATCCTGCACTTTTACGGTGTGCGCGATCGTGCTCGTCATGCGAGCGATCTGAAATTGGACATCATTGAGATCGATGGAAACGTCTCACACAAGTGGTGACTCACGTTCAGCACACCATAGCTCTGGCCGAGCAGTGACACGGCGAACCTTGAGACGATCATGATCGAATTACCTGAAATAGTAACCATTAGGATGCTGATACAGATCCTCATTACGGGAGGTAGTAGTGGGTAGTGAGAGTTCACGCCTGCCTCCTGCGCCCTGTCCCCGCAGCGCCCGTCCAACCTTTTCCCCCGCGAACCCCTGCTCGTCTGAATTCTCACTTCGCAACGACCCTGGCGCTAAGTCGGGACAAGGGTCGGGCCATTCACAGTGCCTGGTTGGGCCACGCGATATAGGGATGAAGTCCGCTCTGCTAAACGAGGCTATGTGAGCCCTAGCCGTTTGCTCCCCAACAAACCCAATCGTGCGAGAACGGGCTCTTGATCGCGCCGCCACGTGGCCCTTTTAATCACGATGCCCTTATTTTCTGCTTCCAGAGCGTAGCTCATGTGGAAAGCACAACCACCACCCAGTAAACCCATGTCGGACAAGGGTTACAATCCATAGGGCCTATACACCAGTCAGTCCATCTGCATAGATGCACTTCTAACACCTCGTGGTCCAGACCCTCGCGCCCAAGCTTCAAGCACCCCCACACCAGGAAGTGTGCCACGTCACAATTCCCTCGCTACGCGCCATGTTCCAAACGCTGGGACAACCAAGGGATTTCGTTTGACCCAGGCACTCGGGCCCCCTACAACTCGCTTTGCTTGGGCATGAGCAACCCTTCAAGGGCCTAGCGCACAAGAAAGAACCCACATCCAGGTTAGGGAAAGCGTCCCAGACAGTCGCCAGGGCACTTATGACTGGCCGGCTGCGAATTGCGGACAACTGGAGAGAGGAGAAAGCAATGAGAAGGAGATAACCGTGGAATGGAGCCCAAGGCAAGGTCCAACCGACCTTCCCGGGTCACCGCACCGGGCAGAATGACGCGGTGAGGTTAAATTTAGGCCAACTCATTCCAACGAACTGCAAGCCTATGACAACTTGTAATAGGTACTATTCGTGTTGGGACCACCAGAACTGCAAAGCTCACCTGTGACACTGGTCCACGTTATCCGACAATGGATTATTGATTACTGAACCCTGAAGTGTTTCATTAAAGGTATGTTAATATTATTTGCATATTTAGACAACTTATTTACGAGGCAGTTACAAAAATCGACATAAAGATAAACACTGGAGCCGTTTTATTATCGAGATGGAAAACAGTTCAAAAAAAGGTTATATGATATTGCTCCGCCTACGTCTCGGCCATAAACAAACAACACGCTTATCAGTTCTCAATCAGAATCGATATCAAACGGAAGAAAAATAGTTAAAATTGATTAAGAAAATATGGAAATACGCGGAAGAAAGGGTTTCTAGTGTAATTTTTCGCTGTGCACAGAACAATTTAGAGCAGTTCACGTTCCTAGGTTTTCAAAAAGTCTATTGCTGCCACCTTGAATTTTCTGAACGTTTTCGCAAACAGCAAAGTACGAAAAGGTTTGACGCAATTACTGCGGGCGTTACCTGTTCCATCTCGCAAAACGAATAAAACATACTAAATATAATTAACAAATACGAGGCAAATATTCAAATTTAGAGGCTCTGTCCCATAACCCGACGCTGCATAAAAAATAACGTCGCCGAATCTTTGCATTTGTTGATTTTTGTAATGTGTTTCTCAATAATGAAGTCGTTTGAATTTCACACGTTGTTAAACATACAGGAAATATATAGTCCCCGTCCCCTAAAAATTTTGAACTGGAAGTTTTACAACAGTTCGTTATAAATAACCACTGAACCTGTTATCCAAAAATAAAATGTAATATACATAATTGATAAAAAAGTGTATACTTCTGAAAAGAGTTTGAAAATTGAATCATAAAATTGCAAAAGGTTGAAATTTTGAATAAAGAGACATGAACAATAAACTCCAATTTGAATTTCATCCTCAAAAGAAATACAATGAGGATGAAAATTCTCTTCTAGGGTATACTGCTGAGCGATCTAACGCGGACGCCGGTGCCCAGAGTGTGCGAAAACGGACGGGCTATTCCTTGCCACCCACTTGGGATGGAGCAAGCAGTCTACTCATCAAGTAAATTCATGAGAAAATCGAACCAGATTTGAGAAGTTCGTGCTTTTTCCAAACTACTTGCTCTGAACCCTATCTACTGTTCAAGGTATTCTGATGCTAACGTAATTAGGGAGGGGTGGGGGACTACTCGACCTATTCGGCCAGCAACTCTCTCCCCAACTACGCCTTCCCGGCGGAACTATCCCTAGACGACTCTGGTCGTCCACGCTCAAAGTGCAAGCGTCGCTGACGAAGAGACAGGCTGCTTGTGCGTGTGTCCTCCCCCTCCCCTTTCCAGGTATCTCAAAATATGCAGGCTATACCTAGATGCCCCAGTGGGCTACGCGACAGTGCCTCTGCGTCCCTTTCCCCAAAGAAGGTTCGCAGTTAGAGCACAGATGGTCAGAGACGGCGACTGAGAGCACAGAGGGCAACTCTCGCAGGGCGGATAGTCTCTACGACTACAATCATCTGCGGCTGCTTAACTACATTAGCGCCATCCTGTTAGTAACCTATGCTGCTCTTATGCTTGATGAAATACCGCCGGCTGCACATGAAGACACAAGACTGTAAGTTCAGGATGTTAGACGCGCGGACGTTGCAGCCCCACTATGCGCCAGGTCGTGCGCGTTCACGGTTCGACACAATTTCACGCGCAATTTCCAAGGGTACTGTATACATCTGAACTTATAATCTATCATGAAGAGAACCAGCAGTAGTTCATTACCATCCTCCGCTTCTCTTACTCGTACACTATTTCCCCAGCTTAGATTACTTTGCAAATTTCGCGAAATCAGCGATGCCACGAATGTTGTGTAAACCGCAGAGATTCGCAGAGTGTGCAAGTAGCCAATTTGAGAATTCCGAGTACCTGTCAGAGAGTTCCTCGCCCTACTTGTCACCACAGATTTTGACTACGGAGAAGATTGGCCCACAGTATTTAATTTTTGAAGCTCACGTAAATTTTCCGTCACGAAAAAAATCGAATTAGTGCACGGACGAAGACCAACGCGGCTGTCAGACAATATGCACTGGAACAGCTGACGTCTTATGGTGGAAAGAGGTCGGTCGACATTTGTTCGAGTTCCTCACGTAACTCTAACAGTTTGAAAACATACAGTAAGAGTACCTTTACAAATGACTGTGATGCTTTCCAGAGTCAAAGAAGAGATCCTATGGTTCATTCTGGGACCGGTAAAGCCCCGTTTTGGAGAGCATCAGTTCCTCCTGCTTCCGATTGTACCTCCTCTCAAATGGGTCAGTTGAAGCAATTCTATGATACGAGGTGAAGCAATTCTATGATACAAGGTGCCCAAAGTTCTAGATGGGTTGGGCCAGGGGGCTAGACTCCAGGGTGAAATCTCCAAGAAGGGACATGACCCTAATTGAAGAACGTGCATGAAATGTGGTGACCCTAATCCATGACACCAGCCACCTTTGTTTGGCAGTACTGCCAACACTAACGTATTTGAGGAAGGGGGAGGGGTAGACGCGAAGGCACGATCAAATCTGCACCCTGCATCACCTAACCAAGACAATGATCTCAGCTTACCCGGTCACAGTCTCAAAGATACGGTTACATGCTAGATGGGTCGTTGCCATGGGCGAGGTGAACAGGCTCGTAGCTATAGAAGATGTGACATCTGGATGCCGTGAACTCTACCTGCTATCCATAGCGTGCGGCACTTGCGTCGGTACCAAGGTCACGAATATGTAAACAAACTCCGCATTTACCCCGCTAAAGGTATCAATGAATCAAACGTGAGAGGACGCAGACAAGCAGCGGCTATACTTGGGCGTACGCCTGGCTGTGCAGCACGTTGCGTGTACGCGCATTTTTTGACTGTGCGTGGAGTGCGTAAGGATGCAACATTTCCTGTTTTTTTAGAAGATTGTAGTAGAATCTGACGCTAACGTACTCTGGTAGAGCTTTGCGTCGACGTTTGTTTCCCTTCCAAAAGCCAAAGCTCAGCCTGGGAGCAATAGCATTGTTGTGTGAAACACATAGGGGGGTCGTACTTTTCGGCTGGGAGGGGGGGTCGTATTTGGTCGTTGTTGGGAGAGAGGGGGTTGTCGTATAGGACTTTGAGAGAAATTTGCTGCGTTGGGAAAAAATTTTCCCAGTTGTTGACTTTTCGCGAATTTTTCCTCCTGCCCCATGTGTACTGACTACCCCCCCCCCCTCCCCGCTCGACGGACGTTTTCTGGGCGAAAACTGGAAAATGTGGGAAATTTCGGAAAAACTGGTAACAGGCTGGGAGCTTGTAGGAAAGTGGTAGTTGATGAGGAAAGGTGGGGGGGGGTCCTACCAAGACCCTCCCTCGAGAGGGGGGTCGTACCGGCACACCATTTCACACATCACGATGCTGTACCCTGCCTGGGAGTATGTCGTTTGGCGCGATCACACCACCGATCTGTCACAAAAGTCACAAATCATTTCTCCAGAGGGAAACTCGCCCGAACTCTACGGGATTTGACGGTGCTAAGTACAGATGAGCGAGGCCAAGGGGCAGCGCTTCTGAACTTCCTCAAATCAGGGCTCAGGCTTAGAACGCATACGACCAGAGCCAACTACTCTTACAGAGTAAATAGCCTCTACACGATTCTAACCGACTGCGCCCTGGGCCCTGGTTAGTGGGAAGAGCGCAGGTGTACCGCACAGCTCCGCTTTCCTAAACTAAAGAGGGATGTGTCCTGGTTGAGAAGCAGGAACACCGTGACCAATATTCATGACCTCATAGGCTGCCAATTACTAAGACGCTAGGGTTCAATAATTCTGAAGAGTTATCGAACACGACAGGGGCGTTCTATCTTGCCATGAGAGACCAGTTACAATGCAATTGCGACAGATGACCGCCTCAGCAGAGCCCAGACGATCAGAGATCGCGGCGTAGTCTCGCACAGCAAATATGGTTGCGCTGCCGTCTGCTCCCGCCGAAGTATGCTGGTACCCTGATAAGCATACTTGTAGACAAAGCTCCTGCGTTCGTTTTTATACATGGTTCGATATAGACGCAATATTGCAGAACGACACGGAAACAACTT